GAAATCGAAGAGGCATCGGTTGCAGTCTCTAACTCTAGAGAATATAAATAGAAGCCGAGTGAGTATAGGGTAACAGCAATAGCGGTCATATTTCTTATTATATACTGTACTTTATTGAGTGTAACACTACAATTGAAAATGAGCTTGGTAAGTAGCCTAATAAATGGAGTCTATAGTCGGGATATACGTATATCGCAGTAAGTTGGAATTCCCCATTATTCACACTATCGTAGCAACTAAATAGACGTATTTATGAATGCTTAGAAAGAAAACACGACAAACGCAAACGTGGATATTCACGTTTAAATGTCCTCTTGGCATAAATGGCATTCAAGTCAGCAAATATTTTGCATCTGTAGATACTAAGAGATACTTAACCTTTAAATTTGGAGTAGCCGATTGACGAATATTGAAAAATATACTTTTCCCGAATTATATAGACTACATCTCAGACATTTGTAATATATAAAATAGCTTGTAGATATAATCGATCCGATGTATATGCGAACACGTGATTTTATCGAATTGTTTTATTTGTCGTGGCTGGCAGAATTGTCAATAAGGTCATTTCAAATCGAGGCACATAAAGTTACGCACTCGCAGTATACTGAATCTCAATGGAACATAAAGGGAAAGAAAGTAAGCGGCAAAGGGGTTGCAAAAGAACAGTACAAGAAGGCTAAACGATCATAAATAGTAATTCTCGTTCGGTTTTCTTTGTTTATTATCCTCAAAACTGGTATATCTCATATGTTGTATTTATTTGACAAATTATTTCCCAATGTACCACACCATCATTTTATATTGTATTTATTTTTATTGAAGCATAATTCATAGTAGAAGTGTAATGAATTTCTGGCTATTAGGAAGTCTCGCGTGAATTGTATAAATAAATTTGCATTGCGCTCGTATGCGCAAACTGTTTCTCTCCCTGTTGAAGAGTTACGCTCCACGATATCTTTTCAAAAAATAATTGTTTATGCTGTTCGAGTTTCAGCTGGCGCTCAGCGTCGTTACATTATTATACGCGGCAATAAATCTAAGCGTTTCTTTCCATTATAACGCTGCAGTTTTGCGTTTTTCTTTTATTTTTTCCTCCTCTACCGAACCTTTTCAAAGCGACAAATACGAAAGAATTATTTGTATCGTATAATACATTTGAAAGTAAAGTATAAGCTTATTGTTATTGCTTGAAACTGTATAAATGTAAGTTTTACGTTAACATCGTCAATACTTGGATAATACTTTAGAATAATGAATCAATGCGATATAGAGAATTACAAAAATTACTCATTTCTTAGAATCAAAAATTCATACCACGAATGATTTACTTACGATTTATTCGTTAAATTTATAAAAATGGATAATCAATTCATGCCGAAAAATAAAAAATTAATAACTCATTCGATTTTACCTATAATATTTTAACTTTGAATGATATTTGACACAAGTAGAATGAATTATCAATTGAGGAATACATTTTGACGAATCAAGGGTGGATTTGGTTATTACACGAAATAAAACGATATATTATTCTTCAAAATATAAAGAGAATCTTCGTATTTATTTGAATAGCAAAATAAATGTTTGATTACAAATTCCATTTATATATCTTAACGTATTTATATGCTTATTTATTTTCAGTCATCTTCTTAGTGCTATTAATCATCATTTAGCCTTGTATTTTCATAATTTAGACTAAATTTTCTAAATTATTATTATAAAATCGATCTACTATATCGTTTTATAATATCAATATTATTATAAATTCGATAACCCATAAAATGTGTATTTTAGTATATTTTTAAAGCAATAGTAATATGGTGGCTACAATATAATTTGATTTATTACTTTAGCCTGATATAAAGCAGCGGTATGATTAAATAATTTATTTGCGAAAATGGAGATTCTATTTCTTTTTAATATGGAAATATTTATCTTTATATAGGAATTATGTATTTTTTATTTTACGTCCTAATCTATATTATCATAGTCGATGCAACCAAGAGATTTCTTTTAAAATATTCGAGATGCAATATGGGCCAAGGTACGGCATATTCAAATATTGTTCTTTAAAAAAGTGTTCATTAAAAATAACAAATGTTTCAATACGAATACTTAAATGTTAATAATGACTCGTATTGACGAATTATACTTTCTAATAGTACCATACCGTTCAATAGATGGGCTCTATTAAATGAAATCATATTTGGAAAACTGCAACTATGCCAAGTAAGCATCCGGCCACCAAAGGGATTGTCAATCATTACTTAGCGGACAATACCATTTACCTCGTCTATGAGGATGGATGAGGTTCGATTAAAGTTAATAGAGTCTAATAGCCATATAAGCGAGACTCCTGAGCAGCGACGTCAGATTTTCTCTTTGATTACAATTACTAATACTAGCTATATTAATTTCAGTCGAATGAGTTGCCGTAAATTCGAATGAATAGGATTCATTTTATTTATCGAATCCTATGACCATACAACATATAATCTATTAATCTAATGATCTAAAAAATGTTATTAATTAAATAGTGTATGGAATAATGCTGAATCGCTATTCTAGAACTAAGTACATCACGTTTATGGCATTTTTAGTTGGTAAATGTAGAGGATTAAACACAGGGAAACAAATAAAAAATAAAATATAAAAATAATAAAGGGTGGAGGAAAAAGGTCGCGAGCGAGCATCATACGACTAACCAAGTCGATCCCATCCGTCCGAGATGTCATTTACTCGGGGGCTGAAAACTGGTCAAGAGCACAGAGTTGTGTCGTTCTACTGGTGGGTGGTGCGTATTGATCGGGTTTCCGGAATGTGCCGGGGCGTAGAAGTGAGCGAATTGACGGATAAATGCGCCTGTGCGTGCGTACGTGTGGGTGACTGACTATATGCGGGTCCCAAGTCGTTGGATTCGTTTGATTTGTGTTTGATATTTCTCTTAAGATCGTAAAGGAAAATACACTGCAAGGAGGTTAAAAACACATTTTACTGATATTGAATGATCGACGCCGTTAAAGAGTTTATCAATATTTAATTTAAGAAAATAAACACGCTTTCGGTACTTTTTAATGTTTATTTAAAATAAAAAATATTATGCTGATATTTGGAGTTATTATTTGTTTATTACGAATTTTTAATAAAGACTATACTGATCAATGCAATAGTAGGATATTTTTATTTAATACGAGGATATTATCCGTGAGTTAAATATTTTCTTCAAATAACCACATTTTATGAAATCGAAAATTTTCATACAATGTATTATCAATTTGTGGCTTTAAAAATAAATACGATCAAAAACCGAAGTCAAATATTCATGTAGTTTATTTAGTTAATTCACTACCCAAAAGCGCTGCATATTTATTTAAACTTTAATTTAATACTTTTAAATAGTATAGAATTGACTAAGTCCGATAGAAATTCAATTAATGCGATTAGATTATTACAATAGTCGTAGAGGTCAAGTAGGGCTGAATTATAGACTACGTTGAATTTGATAATATTTCAATAATGGAATTTCATAAATACTTTCAGACTACTTCATAACTTCAGAACTTCATAATATAAAAAATTAATATGACAAAATAAACATCATTAAACCGTCAAATTAAATAAATGTTTTAATTATTAATGTAAACTATGGTACAAAGTTAAAAAAGTATTTATAAGTATCAGAAATTATATAAGAATTTGTTTATTTCAAAATTCTTATACTATTGTATATATTTATGTATAAAATATTGAAATAAAAATAATAAATGACAATACAGATAGTAGTTATAGAGTGTTTATAAACTTAATTGTAGCTTGCAAGTCGTCTTAATTCACTTTATGTCTCTTTAACACATTTCTTGGAGCTTTAAAATTTAAATAAAAATAATGAACTTTACAAAAAATATTCTAAAAATTTAGAAAAAAAAACAGAAACAAAGTATAGGCAAAAACAGATAGAAAGAAAGAAAAAATAAGGATAATGAGCGGGATAGATAATAAAAGAGATTTTTTTTAAATAAGAGAACTTTTGGAAAGAAGAGTGAGATAATAGGGGGAGAAAGAAACAGTTACCCTTAAAGCTTAGAAGGGAACGGTGAAGATGATAAAAGTGGCGCGGGAAAGCAGAACTTCTCAAGAGGGAGATAGAAAGAAATTTCTTCTGACGTACGACTACGTGATTCGATTTTTCAATTGATCGTAGTAGGACAGTGTAAGCAAGAAGGAAATAGAGTGTGAGAGCAAAGAAGAAAGATAGAGTAAGATAGATAGATGGACAGATAGATAGATAGATATATATATATATATATAGAGAGAGAGAGAGAGAGAGAGAGAGAGAGAAAGAGAGAGAGAGAGCGAGAGGAGGAAGAGAGCAAGGAGGTTGAAAAGAATAAGGGTGGTGAAGGGGGATACATGGGAGCTAGTAAGTGGTAAAGTAAAAGAATCACAAAATATCGATAGAACAATTTGACTTTCACATTAACTCAAACATTGTATACAACTAAATATAATTTCGAAGTATTGCATAATAGTTAGATATAATTTGTTGTTAATATAATGATATTCTTCAATGGAATTTCAAATATTTAGCTAAGTTAGTCGAAAGTTAGCTAAGCTCTTTTAGTTGAGATAAATATTGTATCAATATTATTTGATATTTAAATGAAAAATACAAGGTAAAGGGGTCAATTCCATATTTGTTATTAATTTCAACTCTTATCACATCGAAAATTATCTATAATGATGAAAATCTTCGTATCCAAAAGCACGAAATATCACAATTCATTGCAAAATAAAACGAGTATAAATATAAATAAACATTTTGGGGTTTCAACAGATAATCATAACGTTCATTCACGAAAATTCCGCAAGGACGCATAAAGTGGTATCGCCTCGACTGCCAAGATATTATTCTCTCTCGACTTCATATGCTTATTATGCAGAGCATAATAAATATACGATATACGATACGATGGGAAGAGCATAATAAAGTGACTTACCGTCCTCGGCGCTGATGGACGTTTGCTGAATGATGTTGCTCGGTGTCTGCGAGATAGGAGGTTTCCTCGAGGGTGAGGTTTTACAGGCGGCTGCGGGTGGCTGCTTCAGGGCGCTGGTCGGTACAAGGCCCTCGGGCGGCGGCTCCGACTGACCTGGGGCCGAGGGTAGCCTCACCAGGGTCCACTCGCCATTGCTTCCAACGCCAACGCCACCGTTCTCCAAGACCTCAACCTGCTGACCCTTGGATACGCTGAGTTCTCGCGAGCCCGGCGCTGCCAAATGGTCAGCCACCACCCACGTCATCTCCGCAACGCCAGTCTGAAAATAAAGGGATCGATTATCGTTAAAAAGCTATTCCGGGTGTACTCTGTGTCGAAAATAAGCTTTCCAATGGAATATTCAGCGTGTTGAGCGTGTATGTCGTAGCGTGTCTATAGAGTTGGCAAAAGCTTACTGTCTTCATGGATTATGAATCTATAGACGTAATCAACAGAATATATCCTAAAAAATTTATCCTAAACATATATGTGATTCAATAATAATTTAGCTCTTTTAAAAAATAAAGTACTTACCAGTTATATTCTCCATAATATTAAAGGATTAATTACGTGAATGATATACAATTAATTCTGAGTAAATTATTTATTTAAAAAAATTTTTATAATACATTTTAGTGTTATGAATTTTTTTATTTAAACTTTATTACTTGTACAAGTGACTACATTAATAGAACTTTTCAGCCTTGATAAAGCTTTAGTTTCCGTAAAAATTTTAATTAATTTCAAATTGTCCTTATAATATGTATGTGTTGGCGCCCGCGCATGGTTGTCTTAGATCACAAATGTCTCTGTATAAAACTTATATCGTTAAACGCTAGATAGAAACATTATAAAGTTATTTTTTAAATTTTGTATGTTCAATTTAAATTATGAATTAAATTTTTTTATTTCACCGATTAAATAAATATAGCATAAACAAACTGTAATGTTTTTATACAAAGTTTGTAAAACAAGTAGATAATAATTATTATTTTACCGCAGTTACAATTGGAGCGTATGCAAGGATTCTTATGTAGGAAAAAAGAAAGAGCGAGAAAATACACAGTCATTAATCTAAATTAATCCAAAGGGAGAAGACGGGGGTTTTAAGGACTTCCCTCAAGAGATATCGAAGGTCTATATGGCCAGAAGCATGAAATGAAAAGATGAGAAGATAATTGTTGTGGCGCACAGTTTCAGCTAAGATTCATTAGTTTCTCGAAATGATTAGATAAGATATTTATTAAATAGGCTTGTAATTATAACAATTAGACTATATAAAATTATGTAGACTTAATGTGTAATATACTATTTATAAATCAATACTAATATTATGAAATTATAAATTAAGCTTATTTTGAATTTTATTCTTAATAATTTTATTAATTCTTTTGCAATTTTCGGCCTTTGAAAAAGTTACTCGATCACAGTAACTGTGTTAATGATAGTAACAGAATAATGATATTGAGCAATTTGTTAGAAAAGTAAAACTTATGCAAAGTACTTACTTCATTTTGTTCTATTCGCTTGTTTACTATTCTGTAAATCATATTATAATTATAAGGAGGGAATAGTATAGGAATGTAGCAATGAAAGGAAACTTGTATATTAATTACATTGAAATTATAATAAGTGCTAAGTGTTGCGTATAGAATTTTATCTTGGAAAAGTAGAAATTCATTTAATTGGAAGTTCACTTAGTACGTTTAATAAAAACAAATATTTAGACGACACGAAAGTCAAACTTTAATACTTTTAGTTAAGGATACGAACGTAAATGCCTTGAAAGTAAATTTATTTCAGTCTCTTCAAGGATTTGCAGTAAATTTATTCGTGGTAGTCAATCCCAATGATTTTAATTTTTTCCATTCTTAGCAAGTATAAAACTAAATTCATTGTTATATTTTCTTTCTAAAACATACGAATGTCAATTGGATTAATATAAGTTTTATAGGAATGCGAAATTGAATGTTTTACATGTACATGTATGCGAATAAGCTTACAAAGATACATACAAAAATGATGAATTTAATTAATTTGAATAATAAAAAAATCTGCATATTGAATTTCTCTAACATTTCACTGTAATTTAATTAAATTTTGATCTTTCTAGACTTTCAAATATATAAAATATTTGAATACTAAAAATATATGAATGTAGAATGTGTACTAATTGAACGTTATACACAGATCATAGATGTTAGATGTTAAAATTAAAAAAAAAAAAAAAAACAGTTTCATAAATTTCAAAGATATAATGAAAAACAAAGAATTATAGCATTGGAAAGTGAAGAAAGCCGGTATCGCAAAAGTCATCTGCTGGTAATAAAACCTACCTTCTTTCGCAGTGCAATAAATAAATCGTAATAGAACTGGCCCCTAAAGAGCCATAACGACCGTGAATCTTACCACTGTTAGCCAGAAATAGAAACATCAGAGAATGAAATAAGAGCTTTCGCCAAGCGGAAGAGGAAAGAGAGCGCAGCTTATTGCAGGAAATATTGGATTCCCGTTTGGCCCTCCATTGTCCTCACGCCCGGGAATATGCACGCGAGCGATAAGCAAGTAGTAGTGGGCCGACTCGCGTACTCCACTCCCCACACTTAGACCGAGTTCGTCAGTAGAATCAGCACGTGTCCGGTTGGACGGGTGCAAGTGCAATGAGTTGTCAGCTGTCGGCATTGTTATTCTATCGGTTTATCCATTTTAAATAAAGGTCTGCTCTTTCCGAGATTTCTATTTGACGATCGGACGTGAATGGCCGTTATTTATTTATCGATCACCCCTTGCCTGCTTATACTTGTGAAAGGTATGCGAAATTATTATAATTGTGGGTGTGAATTAAGCGGATAAGATGTGTCGTTATTCAAATACCACGAATAATTACGAGTAATTATCTATTTTTCATTTATATATGGCTCGATAAATATATTGTGACTCACAATTAACAGTAAATGGCTCTCTGACATATTGTCTAATATATTTTCTCAAATATATGAAACAATTTACAATTAATTATTGATTAATCTTATCTGTTATAAATTATCTGTTTTTAATTACACAAACTATAAGAAATCACGTAAATATTGATAAATATTTTACACGAATTAAACTATTAATTACGTTTTAAGTATTTTGAAATTCATATTATTCAAATCAATTAATCTTTAGTATTAAAATATCTAGGCAAATAATAGAGAATGAAACTCTAGCAACAGAATGTAAGATTAGAACTTCGATTGAATTGTTGTAGTACAAAATTCATTAATATTTTATTCGCTTGATCGATACGAATTTTATATGCGAACGTATGCTCGATCACTATTAGTGACTTTTAAAACAAAAGCAAAACTTAAGACATTGACTATTTCCCAATTATTTACCTATACGTCACAATCGTCTATAAATCTATATAATATTTAGTTTACTATGATGAATAACCCAATAGTTGTACTTTTGAGCTGTACGATCAACTGGATGAATG